TAACCTAAAAAATCTTAAAAAGAAAAAGAAAAGCCACGTGGCGGGCTTTGGTGAGTCTCTATATTTGGGGGTCCCCCATTTCCATCCCCAAATTTGGGGTTTCATTTGCAGGATCCTCCATTTTTGAAGGCCCAAACCTCCCCATTGGACCATCTCCTCCTTTATTTTTGCAGATTCCCCCATAAATGGGGTGCCCATTGGACTGAGCCTAATGCAATCACCATTCACTACAGGAAAAGTGAGTTTTCGCAACACGTAAAATATGTTGCATGAAGTGTTGAAAGTGTTGCATATGTAGTATGCAACACTTATAGTAGTGTCCTCTATAGGTGGTGTTGCATAAAGTAATAGGTAACACTTTTTTCACTTTATGCAACACAAAAACTATGTGTTGCGTATGTGTACCACTTATGCAACACCGTTTTTGGCAACATCGCAACAAATTTATGCAACACTTTTAGAAAGTATATGCAACGTGCATATAATTTATTATTGACAGGTTTTTTCGTCGCATAAGACTAACACAATCGTGACAACTTTCTCTAGTAACAAATATTATACATTTGTGTGTGAATGTTGTGGTGAGTGAAGCTAGCTTTTGTGACAAGTTTGTGCGGACACCAACTTATATTAAATGTGACAGGTTGAATTTATCACAAATACATAGTTTTTGTGACAAAATTATAGTCACATATGCAACACCATTGGTGACACTTTTTTTTCATAAGCATTACACCTTTAGCAACCTTTTTGTTGTCACGATAGTATATTTTTGTCACGGTGAATTTTATCACATAAAAGCAACACCAATAACGAATTTGTATTGGAAAGAATAATATATAAAAACAAGGATTAATTTGTCGCCAAAAAGTATTAGATTTTTCGTGGTAACATTAAACTCCATTAGAGCTCCAATTGATAAGCCTATCTACTCTTACACATATGTGTTAAAACTACGAATATACAATTATCTTATTCTTAAGCTATTCAAAATCATATATAAATCTTGAAAGCCTTGCTTCCTCGGCTGGCTTTGCCTTCTCCATCGTCTTCCATCTTGGGGTGATTTTTATCTTTTTTTTATTGAATGCCATACCCTTTGAAACAACCATCATTGACCAAAGAAGAAAGCTCTCAATTGAATTAGATATGGAGAAACGAACCTGCAGATTATAGTGAATAAAAGAATCACTCCATTAATCAACTCATACTGCAGTTATAAAGTCAAAGAGGAAGCGATATAAGTGTACCTGTAATAGGAATTAAACTCCAGCTACGTACAATGGGGGTTCTTAACGGAGATCTGACCATCTGGCGATGGTTCGGCTGGTTAGAGAGGAAGCCCTAAGCAGACAGGAGAACAACATAAGACTCCGAGTATGGGGAAAGATCGATCACGACGGCCAAGGGTTTATAGAAGTTTGATTTTATTTTTGGTGGAAAGAAGTTTGATTTGATACAACAACTAATTGATTCCTTTTTTACCTATTATTATATTTAAAAGTGATCTACGAAATCCTCATAAGCAATAACAAATGATAAACGAATAAATGAGTAACAAAAAGAAGGTAACCATCAAAGAAGATAATTTACTATCGTTACCATAATTTGTAAGAAAAGATTATTAAATTGATTCTTTACGCAAAATTTTTGTTAAGAAGATAATTTCATTACTTACGTCTTCTTTCATTAAAAATTGTTTTTTTTAAATAGTATTGTGTGTGACTACTTAAAGCCTCACAAAAGCACATTAAACATGTGTGACGGAAAATTAAGGTTTTATAAGAAATTAGTCCCTCACTAATGAAATTCATGTGTTTATAAATTAATGTAAATGAACATAAAATGGAGCATTGTTTATGAACTTCAATTGGTTAACTTTTAAAGTAACACTTTTTAGTATAACAGGATAACTAATTTGTCGAACATTATGATTTGAACCACTGGTATATGTGGTGTGGAAATTTCATTGATAGTTAATTTGTTGTTAACGAACATTATGTGGGTCGTCAATATGATAGTTATATTCGATGACAATATGTTAGTTATTAATAATAACTATTAAATTTATACTATAAGTAATAAACTTATAAAATGTTGCCTAAAGTGTAAGAATAGACAACATAATTTATTTTATTGCTCAAGTGTTGCATATTGTTAGGTATATGTAACAAAAAAAAATAGTGTTGGTAATTTGTGTTGTATAAGATATATATTATGCGACACATAACTTAAGTGTTGCATATGTATATTTTATGTAACACTTTTAAAAAGTGTTGCACAACAAGTGTTGCATAAACCCACTTTTCCCGTAGTGATATTATAAAAAAACAACTATGATAAAAAGAAAGTAAATACTAAAAGATGGAAAAAAAAAATCATTCAATAAATAATTCTAAATATGACCCGGGTGGAAAAGGTCATAAAGTCCAAATCTTGGCCGCGTAACGAACCGTTGCCCCTTGCCCCGAATAGTAATAGTAAATGCTACGGGGAAAGGATTACGGAGCAATTCATGCGAAATTTCGGTGACTTTGGGCTTTTACATTATTCTTTTTTCAAGCAGGACAACAAGTGGTACTATCATATGAGGGGTAGAATGTCATCATGCATAGTTTAGTTGGTGGGAATTATTTATGGTCTCGAGATCGTTGTGGAGTTAAGAAGTTATGAGTTCTAAAGATTGACTCACTCATAATCCATAAGCTAAGTAATAAAAAAACAGAAGACTACGATAATAGAGCAGGTCAACTTTGTGACAGATTCAGTGTATAACTTATAGTTGCATAACTTGCATAGTTATGTATGATGATGACAATTTCAACCCACCCCGCGGGCATTACCCCACTTGACTCTTGATGGGCAGGTATTACCCGACCCGCAGTAGCGTGGGGCGCCGGGGTCGGGGTATGGGTGTCTACTTCCGATCCGTCCTGTCCTGCCCCGCCCCGTTTTAGACTCATTTTATATCAATTTCTTACAGTATCTATACACATTTCTCCTATTTTGACTTTTCTTCAACTAGTTAGAGTCGATCTTTCAACTTGTTAGACTCAATTACCCATTCTATTATCACTATTTTTCATTCATAAGGAGTTTCCCCCTTTGTTTTATCGTAAAAAGTAAAATTTGCATATATTTTTCAGAATAACATGTAAGAGTGGGTCGATCCGTCCCGCCTCGTACCCCCGCGGGTTTAACCCGCCCCGCCCAGTAGTAGCGTGGGGCGGGGCATGGGAATTGAGGTACCCGCTCCGCCCCATTGCCATCACTAATGATCTTATACTCAAAAATGACATCCACTATAATATATTGTGGAACAAAAAAAAATTGAGACTTTTATTTTCAATCAATATCATGTGGTACTACTTAGGTTGTACGTAACATTATACCACGTGGTATGAAAGTGTACCATGGTGTTATGACTTATGATCATATACTAACTGTTATTTACCACATTTCATCATCGTCTACCACCAGTTACCATCATATACAAGGGTGGTATAAGGTGGTATACTTAATCCTGAAATTTTTCTTGATTCAATAAATGACGATGAACTCATACTTTTGAGCAAAATTATTCAAAAATCGGGTTGAAAATGAAAGTGGCAACGAGGTGGTAACGAGGAGTATAAACGGTATAAATTTTTTCTTTTTCCTGAAATATATTGAAAATGGATCTCATTATATAAATCATAACGAACTCGCTCAATCAGTGAAAAAACTTGAAATACAAGTTAAAGCGATGAAGATAAAACCCGATTAAAACAATTACGCAAATTAAAAAACTTTTTTATTCTCATCCCTTAGATCCGGCCCCACTTCATATCAAGGACTCAAATATGATTATCTAAAAATTATGCATTCTAGAGTTATTGACCCTATCTTGTACGGTTGACTTTTTTATTGAGCATTTACTTTCTCTTGAAAGATTTTAATTTTTTTTTTTGGAAAATAGTGAAATGATCAAGCAATTTTACCATTGTCAAATTTATTCGCATAGACCAAGTTATTAATATACGGGACACTGCAAAACTATTAAAATTGTTATATCGTCTGAAGATTAGAATGAAAGAGGTACATTGAAAACTCTAGAAAAATAAAATAAGTTAGCCGTTCACATCAATTTAAACAGGAATTTTATATATATATAAATTTTTTAATAAGATAGTAGAAGTAGAGAACTCGAAGTTGAAAAATTATAATAGATAAGAGTAGTTGGTGAGCAAATTAGTCCATAAGTCACTAAAATTATCCGGACTCTAATCATACATTTCTTATCCTAAGCAAAGACATAAGTCAGGTTAGTTTATTTCGTTTATGGCATGAATCAATGGAGATCAACCCGTTTTTGCATGTAATCATAAAAACATATGGAATAGTTCAATTTTCATTTAAATATTCAATAAATAACACTTTTTGAATAAAAAGAGCGAATGACGAACAAAATGCATGTAAATGACTGAAAATTGGAGGCTGGTACTTGAGTGCAACTACCTTTTTCTATAATAAGCTCACAATAGAAGAGATGATGTATAGATTACAAATAATTGAGATACAATAGATCAAGAAGGGGCAACGAAAACTCGAAAATTTAGTGGAGACAAATCAAATACAAGTCAAGTAAGTCAACTGAAAATAGTCATTTCGTATTAATGTCGTTTTTTTCCCTTACTTATAATTGCTATTCATTGAATAAAAAGATGTAAGATAAAAACACATATGTACTACTACTATTACTACTATGCTAATCCACATCCATTGATCATTCAATCTTTCTTCTTTAACTGCAATGCATCTCTTTCTTCTTCAATCGCTATTGATTTACCTTTAGCCCCTCCAACCAAACAAATAAATTACAAGTAATCAAACACAATACCTCTTTTAACCTAATAATTTTGACACAATACCCTTCGTTAATAAAATCACGATTATCAAAAAAATAATTTTGCCAGAGTATCAATCTGTCTATATATAAATTATTAAGCATATCTGTGTACTTTGAATCGTCAAATAATCAATTCTAGTTTTCTAGATACAAATTTGATAATAATATATTAAAAAAAACCCCGTCAAAGCATTAGAAAGAAAAAAAAGAATCTGAAAAAGTCCGACAGCAAAAAATCACGTTCAGAAACCTTTAAAAAAGAAGGAAAAAAAGAGAGGAAAACTCCACCCTCCTTCCTTCCTTCCTCCTATGGTCAGAGCAAGTAAGCTTTGAACATTTCAGATTTCCCTCTCACGAAAACCACCTGCATAAATACCTCACCTCCAAAGCAACCAATCCAAAATCCAAATCCAAAAACAAGCAAAACTACAAACAAAAACAAAACCCATTTCTCCCCCTTTCAGCCATGGCTGCTGAAGGAAGAAGAATCAGCCTCCTCTGTTTTTTCACCACCCTCCTCTGTTTTTCCCTCCAAACATCCGAAGCTAAAGTCCGGCACTACAAGTGGGAAGTGAAGTACGAGTTCAAGTCCCCCGATTGCTACCGAAAGCTCGTCATCACCATCAACGGCGGCACACCGGGACCCACCATCATCGCCCAGCAGAACGACACCGTCGTCGTCGACGTCAAGAACAGCTTGGGCACAGAGAATCTTGCCATCCACTGGCACGGAATCCGGCAGATTGGTTCGCCGTGGGCCGACGGGACCGAAGGCGTCACGCAATGTCCCGTTCTTCCCGGTGACACTTTCAGATACAAGTTCGTCGTTGACAGGGTAAGCTAATTAAACTCTTTTATCTTACTCCATCTTATTTTAAGGATTTTTCGTGTCTAGAGGTTCAATAATGGATTTTATATTTGTACTATTTGCAGCCTGGAACGTACCTGTACCACGCGCATTACGGGATGCAGAGGGAGTCGGGTCTGTACGGGTCGATTCGGGTTTCGGTTCCAACCGGCGAGTCCGAGCCGTTTGCGTACGACTACGACCGAAGCATCATTTTGAACGATTGGTACCATAAGACGCCTTACGAGCAAGCTGCAGGGTTGTCTGCGAAGCCATTCGTCTGGGTCGGAGAGCCTCAGGTACTGAATTCTGATACACATTTTCGAAGCTTCTTACTATGTTTCCCATGACTAAATTGCCATCAACTCGAACCCGTTCGAAAAATCAAAATTGGGTTGAAGTTTTGTAACCTGGAATTTGAACTACTCGAACTTGATTGACCAAGATTTTTTTTTTTTTTTTGTGTTGGATTAGATGGACTAACTGATTGATGTGTTTCACGTCATTTTCACTCTCAAAATGACGAAATCACTCACAAATTGGTGAGATGTTTAAAAACATTCATAAGGATTCGAAAAACAAGTTTATAGTGTACGGATACTGAAAAAGATTGTGGATCTGGTAGTGTTATTACTTCTTCTTGTGATGTTTTTTTTTTCTATATGTTTCACGCAATTTTGCATTTCTTTTCATTAGCACGCGAGAATATGAGAATCTATGAACTAACTTGTATTAAATAAACTACCAGCGGATGTATATTATCCAACCCGATCCGATTATCATGTCCAGTTTGGAGCCATGTTAAAACTAGGGTGTGCACTAGATTTTGACACCATTATTATTTCTATTGATCACATTTGAATCACTAGCTATTATAACCTAATCAGATTCGTTTTCAATTTATTTTTTGCAGTCACTATTGATCCACGGGAAAGGAAGGTTCAACTGCTCGACACCAGGACTAGGACTAGAACCCGCCACCTGCAACAACACAAACCCAGAATGCTCCCCGTACACCATGACCGTCGTCCCGGGAAAGACCTACCGGCTCCGAATCGGCAGCCTGACCGCCTTATCGGCGCTCAGCTTCCAGATCGACGGCCACAACATGACCGTCGTCGAGGCCGACGGCCACTACGTCGACCCATTCGTCGTCCAAACCCTCTACATCTACTCAGGGGAGACATACTCTGTTCTGATCCGAACCGACCAGAACCCGACCCGAAATTACTGGATCGCGACGAACGTCGTCGGCAGGAACCGCACCACTCCGCCGGGAATTGGGGTTCTAAATTACTACCCGAACCACCCGAAACGATCTCCGCCCCCAATTAACCTACCGATCGCCCCGATTTGGGACGATCGGAGGCCTAGGGTGGAACAGAGCCGGGCGATTCGGGCCCGACCCGGACACGTACACGACCCGCCCCGGAGTTCGGATCGGGTAATTGTGATGCTGAACACCCAGAACGAAGTCGACGGGTTCCGCCGCTGGTCGGTGAACAACGTCTCCTTCAATCTGCCCCACACGCCGTACTTAATCGGGCTGAAGCACAATTTGCTGCACACTTTCAGCCAGATCCCGCCGCCGGAAGACTACGACCGGGCGAGATTCGACGTTACGAGCCGGGCCAGGAATTCGAACCCGAACGCGACGGTCGGCGACGGGGTCTACCGGCTGAAATTCGGGTCGACGGTGGATCTGATCTTGCAGAACGGGAACACGATGGTGCCGAACAACAGCGAGACACACCCGTGGCATCTCCACGGGCACGATTTCTGGGTTTTGGGTTATGGGGAAGGGGAATTCGACCCGAAGGAGGATCCGAAGGGTTACAATTTGGTGGATCCGATTATGAAGAACACGGTGCCGGTTCATCCGTACGGGTGGACGGCGCTGAGGTTCAAGGCGGACAATCCTGGGGTTTGGATGTTTCATTGCCACATCGAGTCCCATTTCTATATGGGGATGGGAGTGGTTTTCGAGGAAGGGATTGAGATGGTCGGGGATTTGCCGGCGGCGATCGGCGGGTGTGGAGAAACTAAAGGCCTCAAGCTCCATGGGAAGCCATAGGCTAAATTTATTTATTTTTAATCTGTTATAGATTCTTTGTTTTCAGTTTCTGATTTGTTCGTTGTACGACGTAAATATTGATGTTTGCGTTCTTAGTTCTCACTCTGGATTATAACTTATCAGACCACCATGGTGGGAAAAAAATCAAAAAATGAAAAGGGATAGATTACAATAATACAACTTATCAGACCACCGATGGTTACTGACCTATCAGTAAATACACGGGAACCGTAGATCTGGGGATGGAGCAATCGGGTGGTTGGCTGGACACGGAGGTGGGGAGGGACATTTTTGTCCGTTTTTGTATTTTTAATTTGGGTTAATATTTTCGTATGGCATGAATTTTGACCAAAATAAACATCCTGGCCAATCTTTTCTATCTATAACATCCTGACCCGAACTATACACCAAAATAAACAATTTAGCCAGATCCGACTTTTGACCGTTAACTTGGACGATCAAACGCATTGACCGTTAGTCAACGCGCCATGTCACTACCAAGTCAGCATAAAATATTTAAAATAATTCATAATCTCCACACATTCCCTAATTTTAAATTATTATATATTAAAAATATCATCTAATGCCTCAGTTAAACCAAAAATAAAAAACAAAAAAAAATTAAATATTTATCGGATCTTCTGACTTGGCAGTGACGTGGCGCGTTGAGCGTTAGTCAATGCATTTGACCGTCCAAGTTAACGGTCAAACATTGGGTTTGGTCAAATTGTTTATTTTGGTGTATAGTTCGGGCCATGATGTTATAGATCGAAAAGATTGGCCATGATGTTTATTTTGGTCAAAGTTCAGGCCATATGAAAATATTAACCCTTTTAATTTTTATTTATTTATTCCGCATTTCAATGGCTGACTTTTCAATAAAAGAGAAAGAATAACATTTTCTCTCCAACTCTATTTTCTTCCTTCTCTCTTCCTTTTTTCTAATCTCTTTCCATATCCTTTCTCTATTCCTTCTCTCTTATCTTTTCTCTCACAATCTCCTTTTCAAATCTAGATCTGCTCTCTTCTATCTTTATTTTTTTCTCTAACAATCGACGAATAAAAATTGAAGTCACCCTCTTTAATTACGTTTCTTCTCTTCATCAACTCGTTGGCTTTAATTTCGATCTTTCTCCTTTTTTGGCGTTTGGTATTCTTTGGTTGCGGATGAAATGAGATGAGACAGAAGACAAGTTTTTTTTTTCTCTCCCTCCTTTTGTTTTTTCCCCTTTCTTTTAGGTAATATATATTGGTATTACCACAATATACCATATGGTATTATGTGGTAACGAAATTATATATTGGTATTACCACTCTATACCAAATGGTATTACCACTCTATACCATATGGTATTGGGTGGTAACGAAATATATATTGATATTACCACACTATACCATATGGTATTGGGTGATAACGAAATATATATTGATGTTACCACTCTATACCATATGGTATTGGGTGCTAACGAAATGTATATTGATATTACCACACTATACCGTATGGTATTGAGTGGTAACGAAATATATATTGGTATTACCACTCTATACCATATGGTATTGGGTGGTAACGAAATATATATTGATATTACCACACTATACCATATGGTATTGGGTGGTAACGAAATATATATTGGTATTACCACCCAATACCATATGGTATTATCACTCTATACCATATTATCACTCTATACCATATGGTATTGGGTGGTAATGAAATATATATTGGTATTACCACTCTATACCATATGGTATTATCACTCTATACCATATGGTATTGGGTGGTAACGAAATATATATTGATATTACCACACTATACCATATGGTATTGGGTGGTAACGAAATATATACTGGTATTACCACTCTATACCATATGGTATTGGGTGGTAACGAAATATATATTGATATTACCACACTATACCATATGGTATTGGGTGGTAACGAAATATATATTGGTATTACCACTCTATACCATATGGTATTACCACTCTATACCATATGGTATTGGGTGGTAACGAAATATATATTGATATTACCACACTATACCATATGGTATTGAGTGGTAACGAAATATATATTGATATTACACCCAGAAATTTTTAGATCTAATAGATAATGATGAACTCGTTCTTTTTGTGCAAATATTTTCAAAAAACGACTTAAAAACGAAGTAGATACCATATAGTATGGAGGAGGGAGCGAGATGTATGATTTTTTTTCTAAAAAAATATTAAAAATTGATCTCATTTGTGAAGCACAATGAACTCGTTCCATCTGTGCAAAAAAAATTGAAATCCGAGTTAGAACTAGGGATGACTAGGGGTGGAAATTGGGGTGGGTGTGGTTACCCGCCCCACATTTTGAGGGTAACCACACCCACAAATATGGTATTATGCTACCCACAACCCGCCCCACTATGGGTAGTGGTTAACCACTATCCGTTGCGGGTTGGTTGTGGATACCCACAAAAATTTCATCATTAAATAAAATAATATGGTAATTAAATAGTGAAGTTGTGTTTCTTCTCGCACAAAAAAAAAACATACATAAAAGAAAGTTAATAAAGTGTTAAATAAATTATAAATCTTGAATACAAGAGGTTAGTTAGTGTAAATTCAGAAGAGATGGATTTGGAAAGAGAACATCGTTGCATGTCACGACTCCTCCGATGGCAACAACAACAAAACACAAAAGTGGCTCGATAAGTGGAGGCACCCGCTTTTAATGAATCAATTATTCTCCACTCTCGACTATAGTCTTGTATTGTTGGTAGCTAGTAGCATGTTGTGTTGTTGGTGAGTTCGTGGAGAAATGGAGACGAGTTTTGCTATCGAACTAACATTTATTGATTATTCCCCTCTTCTAACGAATCGATTAATTTATCTGACTATATCTTTCTTACAAAATAAACATATACCACACAGACAATGCTTATTTGATAAAAGTATCCCACACGAACATTTCGTATTGACTTGGTTTTGTTTATAGAATTAGTACGTATTTGATTTAGTAGATACCTTAATTCTTAGTCTTCCAAGTTTCACAAACTAATATAACTAATGTGGTTAATGTGGGTTTTGTGGGAACACCGTTGTGGGTAGTGGTTAACCACTAACCACAAAAATCAATATTTTGCTACCCACCCCCAACCCACTATCCACAAATTGTGGGTATGGGTATCCACAAAGTGTGCGATTTGGGGCGGTTTGCGGGTTACCCGCAACCCGCAAACCAAACTTCCACCCCTAGGGATGACTACCCGTTACCCTCCCCAAAGTAGTTCAGGTGTTACCCATGCCCATATAAGAAAATGGTAGAAAATCAAAACCATACCCATACCTATTCAGGTTTTGGATATCCACGATTATTCATGGATGATAATTTCTCTTTATAACTCCAACAATTATGTTAACATTTGCACGTATTCTCACATAAAAGAATATTGCCTATGTTTGGCCCGGCTTTTAGAAGTGCTTTTCGGCTTCAAAAGCTTAAGCAGGGCCAAACACCTCTAAAATCTCGGCTTTTGAAAAGCCGAAAAGCACTTTTGTATAACATAAAAGCAGAAGCTCCGATTTGGAGCTTCTACGAAAAGCTGTTTTGAAAATACAAGATTATCCTTACCATATTTTAATTTTATTTCAGAAAATATAATTTTTCTTCATTTATATCATTTTAAAAATAAAATAAATTATAAAATCATATTATTTAATATAAAATAAATCTAACAAGACCCATTTTTACTACTTTTTATTGATTAGAATTTTTATTCATATTTTATATTATAAGTCCTTTATAGACATTTTACACAACCGCTCATATTAAAAAGCACTTCTAATAATTTTACAGCCAAACAATAAACTGTTTTTTTTTAAAGTACCTATCTAAAAGCTCCAGCCAGAAGGTGCTTCTGCAAAAGTTACAGCAGAGCCAAACTAACGGGTTATAGGTATAATATGGCCCTCTACTATGAAGTTTTATCAAACATGCCCCTCTACTATTTTTTACATCAAATATGCCCCTGTACTTTGAAAAAATTATCAAACATGCCCTTCTGTTAAAAATTCCATTGAAAAAATCGTCAATCATAGTTGAATTGAGATTTAGTTGACCCGACATCGACAAATGAGAGGGAAAATATCAGTTTTGTCCCCCTGTTTTGTTTCCTTTGGTCTTTTCAAAGTGAAATTATTTGAATGATTTGATTATACAAAAGAACCAAAAAGATTCTAAAGTGAATTTATTAGGGATATTTTAGTCATTTGTGTTGCCCAAACTAAAGTTCGGCGTTGGTTAACGATTTTTGGATTAATATTTTAACAAAAGGGCATGTTTGATCATTTTTACAAAGTACATGAGCATGTTTGATGTAAAAAATAGTAAAGGAGCATGTTTGATAAAACGTCATAGTAGAGGAGCATATTATACCTATAATCCCAAACTAAACTATTAGATGATGGAGTTTTATTGGAATTTTAGCATTCAAAAATTCCGGACTTTCCCTTAATTTTCGGGAGGGTTATAGTGGTCAATTTCACTATCTTAATAAAACTACACCCGACAGGCTGCAATAAAACTTCCCAAGGCCCAACATTAAAGCCCGAAACTTTCCAACTAATTTAGCAATCCTATATGAATCTTATTCCACAATTTACGGACCAAATTTGAAGCCCAAAAAGCTGCACGAATGCTAATCCGTATTAGCCTAAGCATCCAACCTGTTGGTTGGATTAATTTTTGTTGTTTGTTAATATTTTATGCTAATCAATTTGTTTATGTTTTAATGGGTTAAAAACATATGGTCAATAATCATCTAAATGGTTAACACTTTCTCTCACACCTCGGATAAAAAAAAAACTTGTGTCGAATTATTTGACACCATGAATTTGGAAAAAACTCGATGCAACACTAATATCATGTCCTGAAAGGAAGATAAGTGCAAGTTGCCACAAATATCTCATCAAATACCCGCTGAAGCACTCAAACTCAATTGGTCTTGAACCCTTGTCAAGTTTCGTACGTAGATATTTGATGTGGTGATCGATTGGGAAGAGGAATGGCCGCTCTACGTAAAGAAATTAATGATATCTCAGCGTTGACATACGTGTAGAATTGAACACTAATCAAACCGTTAAAACAATAGAAACGAAAGGAAAAGAAAAGAAACTTCAGAAGGTCCTACTGAATTTCCTAAAATATGGTGAAATAATATGGCAGCCAAACTAGAACAGTCGCAAAATTTCAAAGTGAGTGGCAAAGCCAGACAGCCGAATCAGTAAAACCAAATTTCACTGAAAGGCATGTGAAGTTGGTTAGTTATACGAAAGCTCCGTTACTCAAAACTAATTATGTGAAGTTGGTTGCTGATAGAGGTGGCAATTCTCAATCTAATCCACCAATCCAATTCACTAATACATTAAAAATATCCACCTAA